CCCCCCCCCCCCGACAGACACACACATATGCACGAGTTTTTTTTCTTTTTCCTTCATGATTATCTGCCCACTTTTTTTCATTGCTAATGCCAAACTTAGAGCAGTAAAAAGGTCGTGCATTTTTTCACTTTAGATTAAAGTTTAAGATTGTAGTAGCAATGGATAAAATTGTAGAAAATAAGAGAGAATTCGCAAGGAATTATTAATAGTCAGATGAGAAATTACAAATTATGCAGCTGCCTACTATCTAACATGATTTCTATAGAGCTGCACGGATGGTGTGTACTCACAGAGTGAATTATCGTAGAGAAATACGAGTCAGGGATTTCTGCACACTTGATTAAACGATTGATAATTAAAGATGGTTTAGTATTGTTATTAAATTAGAATAAACATACGTTCCGAAAGGACATAATGAAGAAAGAGCGTCATGAAGGTTAGAGCTCGCGTGCGCTCTGTAAATTCATTGGTTGATTATCAAAGCGAGGTACCTGCTTGGCTGCTACGCCCCGATACGTAGATACCAAACGACTATGCATACTATACTCGACACGAAGCCATGGAATCGATATTCCCTTAGTTATTTCCTCTTATCTAGTACACGTCCGCCCTGGCTATATGTGCCTGATAATACTAAATTTCAAATAATCGTTTCTTTTGAGCCCCCCGTATTCAAGGATTAGCAGTACTTATCCATATTTTGCTTGATATCTAATAACGAGTTCCAATTTTCCTGGTATTTATTTGCTTGATCTCTTCCTGCTTGCTTTGGAAAACTCACACAAGAATTCTCTACCATTCCTACGTACTTCATCATACTCTTTTTAAATAGCCAAGGTAGCCTAAGACAATTGCCTTTATTCATATCATCCAATAAATCTTAAATAATCTTAATGTGGCATATCTAGTACTGTTAACTTGAAGATATCTTTGAGTTATGCTATATATTAGAATTTCGTATTTTTCAGTGCACTGTGTCAGTCAGCTCTTATCCTACCAAGGGCAGAGAAGAAAGTATCTCTTTTGATTGGCTAAACGGCTGTTCGACCCACCCTCTGCAAACACCTTGGCAATGCAGACTGCAGTGCTGGGTTACTGTAGGCTCTCAGTAGGACTCAGTTCGTTAACAGTGTCTCACTAGAACGCACGCCGATTCCGCTCTATTCTCTCCTCTCGTGCCGGGAGAAACACCCGTACTCGTATTGATCCTCCCGGAGGCTGCGGATTCGCCGTCGTTGCTGCGTGGTTGCGTAGTGCTCAACGAGAGAAGATCCAAGACGAGGTCTCTAGATACGAGAGTGACAAAGAGTGTTTCGGAGGGATGAAAAGAGACCCTATTTTTAATGTGCACAAGTTCGAATGTCGCCCCGGCATGTGACTTCGTGTTTCCTGTGACCTAATCAGAGTCGTCTATTTTTTTTAAAATACGGCTAGAAGCATGGAGTTATCCTATAGAGAGGTAATGACTGTCTTATGTTTATTAATAAGTTTCTCATTAGCTTCAAAGTTATCGATGCCCTTTTCTTCCTCCTAATCATGCATGTGTAAACATTTGATAGATTATTTGCTTGGGGATTCAATCATCGCTCTTTTTAAAAGCACAGCCGTGGGAATCATTTAATCGAGTTTTGAGAATATATTTTTGGTATTTTGTTCAGTTATTGTGCAGCTTCAATTATATTCGGTTGCTTATTGAGAATTCTTGAAATATTTGTATCGCTTTTCTATATTTACCATTTTTTCAGTGAGTGTTCGTTAACGAAAGTGAGAGGAATCAAATCGGAAAGATGGCTGTGGATATATTGGATGTCGATCATCTGGCTGTCAGTGCTATAGTCACAGTAGGGATGCAATTAATATTCTTCACGATCGCTGCTACTTTCCAGATGGATAAGCTCACCGATTTTGCGGGCGGAACCAATTTTATTATTCTGGCTCTTCTTACATTTTTCCTCGGTCAAGTCGGCAAGGTATTTTAATCCGTGTAAATCTTTAATTAAGCTCTTGACATTATCCACAATCTTACATCATAAATTTTATCAATCACTTGTCTGATTAGATATTTTTTTATCAGACTTATGATAGCAGACAGTTGATGGTCACAGTTTTCGTATGCCTCTGGGGTGCTCGGCTCTCTGGTTATCTTCTGTACCGTATTATCAAAATTGGCCGAGATAAACGATTCGATGATAGGCGCAGCAATGTGATACGCTTTGCTGTGTTTTGGACATTTCAGGTAAATTTTTTTTCCTACATTTTTTAAATTTTATTTTTTTTCCAGTCTCATCGTTCCATCGCTCAGATTTTACTTTTTCCCTCTCGTGCTTACATATATTAATGGCTTCAAGCAGAATGACTGGCTTGCGTGAATCGCCTCACTTTACCAAGGTGCTCTCTTAATAAGTGGCTCTCGTTTAAATATGTAAATTCATTTACGTTCGTATGAAATATAGTGTCTGTATTTTTATGGACGAATGAAAAACTCGTGCTCTCTAGTTCTTTCGTCGCGGGGCTTCTCTCTTGCTGATACCGATAGCGTACGGTTGGATATTTATTTACTCTCAAAGCAACTGCACGTGATTGCTCGTTGAAGAACGTCTGGATTTCAGTTGGCTGATTATTTATTTTGATTCTTCAGGCCGTGTGGGTATATGTCGTCAGTTTACCGGTAATTTTTATTAATTCACCTCGTCACAAGATCCCACCAGCACCGAGAACTATGACGACCTTGGACAGCGCGGGAACAGGTCTGTTCGTTATTGGATTACTCGCTGAAACTTATGCAGATTTGCAGAAGTTCTCCTTTAGGCAGGATCCCGTTAATGACGGCAAATGGTGCAACGACGGTGAGTATTTTTTAATATAACAGATTCTTACTAAGAATCAATACTTTGTAAACTTGTATTAGGACTCTGGAGGTTATCGAGACATCCTAACTATTTCGGCGAGATAGTAGTCTGGTGGGGAATATTTGTGATTTCATTGAACGTGATCGAGGGAGCCGAGTGGGTTGCTATTGCCTCACCAATCTTTACGACCATCATTATACTCTTTCTATCGGGAATGCCACTCTTGGAGAAGTCTTCGGATGAGCGCTACAGAGAGTAAGTATTCCTTATATCTTTTAAAAGAATTTTTGGCAACCATCAAGGATTTCTCATATCTTGGCACTATTTCTGCTTCTGGTTCTGTCGCAGTTCTGTATAATTTTTCTTCTTCCAGCAATGCGGACTACCGCTACTACAAGCAATCGACATCACCATTGATCCCTATACCGCCGTCCATATATGTCGAGGTGCCCTGGTTCCTAAAATTCGTTCTTTGCTGTGAATTCCCTCTATATGACTCTCTCGACGTGAAACCCCAGGCTGCCGTCACTGAATCCACGTCTATTAGTCTCGCGGCCTCTACGTAGCTGTAGCCGTACGTCGGGCGTCCCGCCTCGGGGCCCGGCGTACTATCTGCCACGGCTAGCACGGCCCTCTGAACTCTCTCTGATACCATCGTCATCGACGTCCTCCTCGACCGACGACGCACCTGACTGGACCTTCGAAATTGGCACTCTACATTTGGAGAAAGATTCTGCGCTGTGTGAGAAGTCTCTAGCGAATTTTGATCTTGCTGGAGGTAATGGAGCTGGTATAAAGTTTGGTGGACCACTTGAATCTCCAAAGACTGACAACTGGGCTGTGTGTCAAGGAAGTAGTCAGGAAACGGAGAAGAAACCGTTTGTGAGACAATCAGCTGTCGATTTGGGAAATTCAGATCCATTTGGAATGCACTACAAGTGGAGAAATGCTTCTATGACTGCTACAAGGATTCGCAGCTCCTCGTCTCATGGAGACGGCATAGTGAAACATTACTACTGTAAGGAAAATTCACTTGTTCCTCTGCAGGGTATGCCGAACACAATGTACCGAGGTGTGCATACTTCTAGAACAAATGTCTCGCCAAAACCGAAGAACTACTCATTCAATAATACCAGTAGGTCAGTATCCAAGTTAAACTCATCCAGCAAACCATTGTTCTCCCGATCAGCTACATTGGAATGGACATCAGAAGGTCCAAGCACGCAAACTCCAACTTCAGAGTGGATCGACTCATTTACTAAGCAGCATGGATTAATGAAAAATTCTACGGATCAGTGTAAAAATGTTGCCGAAACTTCAAGATCAGCTTTGGGAATAACGGGGACTTTCTCTAAGTATAGGATACTATCGAAATCACCTTCAGCCCCAGGAAACAATTCAACGTCGAAAATGACTTACGCAAATTGTTCGACTAATTCCTCCTTCGAGCAGGATCCAACGGACTCAATCACAGACGTGAGAACGCGCGCCCTGGCACACCACGGCGCTCTCTCGCCTGAATGGGAAAAGAAATACTATGAAAAACAATCGGGCTGGTCCAGAAAATTAAAAATGTCGGGATCTCAATTTCTTAATGTAAACTGGACCACATGTAACAAACGCTCTCCTACATTTCCCTTAATATCACCGACGAGTACGCGTAAAAGTGATCGGAAACCAGTGTCTTTTGAGATGACATGTGATCCTGTATTAAGTTCTACAAGCTCAGACATCCTGAGGGCATCGACAAGCTTTGAAAGTTCTCGAGATAGCAGCGCCTCTTATTGGAATCCAGTAAGAAGAAGAATTCCTGCGATAAAGTTGCACCATTCACCCAACAGATCCCATGAACATTTAGCGGCAACCAGCAAGCGACGACCGGGAACATCATCAAGTAGTAGTGGTTGGTTATCTGCTGCAAGAAAGCAACAAGCAAGGATCAAGAAGTGTCGCGCCTTTGGTAAATTATACACGACCGTACGAGTTGAGGACGACGACGTTAGTGTTCTAGTTACTACGGATTAAGTTTATACTAAATCCAGTGTTTCGAGAAGAGAGTTCAATTATCTAAATGGCCACATTTATAATTAAAAGTCTATTGTGCGATAATTTTCGCAAGGGAACTCTAATCTATAATAGAATTAAAATTCCTCTTACTGCGCAAGCAGCGAGTACGAATAAGAAAAGAAACAACTAAATTAACTTTAATTATTTTAAGCAAAAAAGTGCGATTAGCAGGAGTGCCATGAGAATTTTTGGAATTCCTTAAAGGGAACGAAAAGTCGAAGAAAAGAGAAAAACGCATTAAAACATATTTTCGTCTTATGAAACGAATAGTCTGTCAAACATTGACTAGCAGAACTTACCCGAGTAGTTAACAACTAACACTGAGTCGTAAACTAAAAGGTGATCCTTAGACTTAATAGCGAGGTACTTTGTTAGTGTTATGGCAATATTAAACATATCCCAAATAGCTAGCATCACAGAGCTAGTGTAGTCGTGTTAAAATTGCAATTCGTTCTAGATGCATATCGGATAAGAGAGGAGAGATGATGAAAAAAACAAGAACGCGATAGTTGAAATATCTGCTGCCCATTGCCAATGCTATGCGTCTTCATATAAGAAGTAACTAAGGAGAATATTAGGAAATGAAATTACAATTGTACTTGATACCTCCATTTAATTAGTATCATTATATTGTAGTATATCATTACTGAATAGCATATAGAACAGAGCTGGCTAGCAAAATAAAAGGGATAATAAAAGTTATGAGGGCCCATCAGTCAGCTCTGTATTATTAGAGTAACCTTATTATAGCCTCTAGGCTGCTAATCACGATTTTACCTCATATGTCGTACGAATTTACTGGAATCCTGGCGTGAAACTATTTTCTATCCAGAAAGTTAAGAGTCCGGTCTTAGAATTTTACTGTTGGCAGGATAGACAAAAGCATGCAGCTGGTCTGTACGCATATACATACGTATTATATTTTCCTTTGTCGTTGTCAGTTAATACTTCCTGCCAACTTGTGAAATTGTTAATTACCAGAGGAACTTAGCGATTTTAAATTCGACAACTAACTAATTGATATATTTAAGGATCAATTAGGCGAAGGATCTCCTATTCAATTGTACTATGAGTATAGGATTGTATTTTGAATTGCTCAGCTAACGTTAGCGTGAAATTTCGCTGCAAATCTCGCTGACTATTACTCCCTCTGTTTAGTACAAAAATGAAGAACAAGTCAGCCGATTGTAAGATCTATTTCTAGGTCGCTAACGAGGTCCTGCGTATTGGTAAAACTCGCGATTATTATATTTCGTTTGGCCGTCTAACAAGACGTTCTCTAAAATGCTATTAAATTCCATATTTTTATAAATTATCAAGCCAGTTGAAGACGCCGCGCGTCTTAATGCCTTGAGCGATTGTGACGAGTTTGAGGTGGCCTGTAACTTCGCGAAAATGCTCTAAATTTATGAAATCGCATATTGGTTTAATTGAATAAAATTCTTGCAGAAATATGGGCATATCTGTTGTAGACACGTGGCCACCTTGTGCTCATTGTTTATTGCGTAGGAATTAATTATGAGCGTATTTACTGTACAAGTGACACGCTTAGGATGTAATTATAGATATTCTATTGAACGAATTACAGGCTGTTATAAATAAAATAAATAAACGAGAATGCCAAGCGTCGATTCTTTGGCATCCACTTACACTATGAAACTTCATTGAAGCAAACATGCGCAAAGAATTATAGAAAAGGTTGTGGGCTATTATACGATATAAATTATGCATGTTTCATTTTATTTCTATGCAAAGAGTATTTGAACACAAATCAGTACCACATTTTAAGATTCAATTGGTAAAATAGTTATATATATCGATAGACAATTCGTTATGCAGAATGCTTATTACCACCTGTCGGTAATACATGCTTTTGTCCTTGAAACGGTCGTAGCTTACAGATTTTACCGTTGAGAGGACAGCACCTGCCCGGTAGTGTGATGTTCGCATACTAGTTCGTTCACCACAGCCAAAAGCTAGAGCTGCTAACTTCCTATTATATGATCTAGTACTGGCCCATCATTTTAATTATGTTTTCAATATTTCCTATAACGTTTTCGCTACTCTTCTATGTTACTACTGCTTCCCGTGTTTAATTACGATTTAATGGTGATTTAATAATTAATAAAGCTTTAGGTGATTCCTTATCGAGTACTACTTGGCGGGTCCGTTCATTTCTTGATATAAATTTGGTACAAAAGCAGTACCAATTTTCTATAGAAAGCATATTAACAATAACTCGTCGAAAATAATCACGGTAAAAGCTTAATAACAAATATACAGCATTAGAATACTATGAGCACGTGCAAAGTAAGTACTTTGGAATTCCTGGCACGGACATGCCAAGTAGTACTCGATAAGGAATCACCTACAGTTTTATTAATTATTAAATCACCATTAAATCATAATTAAATATGGGAAGCAGCAGTAACATAAAAGTGTAGCGAAAACGTTATAGGAAATATTGAAAATATAATTAAAATGATGGGCCAGTGCTAGATCATATAATAGGAAAACATGTAGTGACTTATGTACTTGGCCTCAATAATATGATATCAATACTTTTTGTTAGAGGAATTCACAGCAATCCTGTACTTGGCGCAGTTTTTTACACGTAAGTGTTTTTTGGGGGATAATATAAACAGTAGTAAGTAACTTCTTTTGTGTACTAATTAATTTTCTTAAAATTCCCGTGTTCATTTTATTTCAAACTTCCCGGTCCCATTGCGCTATTTATATAGCTAGTATTGCGGCGAATCTTTAACAAAACTCACAGTCTCGAATGTCCAATCAGCGAAAGACTTCAGGGTAACCAGCACCAGGACGTAACAACTGCGAGCTGGGCGCACCACAGTGAATCCAACACTTCAAAGGGAACATTTATTTTTGTCTTTTTAATTATATTAGCAATGCGTCTTCAAACTTTTCTAGTTTTTGTCCTCTCGAACCACACTGAACTTACTAGAAGTGAAATGTTAGAAGGGTATCTCCCCACACAATACTGAGATGTTAGAAATATGTCATACAGACGTTGTCAATCGCCACTACTGACATACGATACGCATCCGTAAATTCACAAATGACATCCTGCAGACATCATTCTGAAGTATGTTTGTCCCACCCACGGATATATTTATGTCCGTCTTTTGGAGACCCTGCTTGTCATTCATAGAATGCATTTCTAACATCCATATGACAATTTGCTTCATGACCACACTCACTGGTTGGTTTAACCCGCGAGAAGTCGTCCTATGAGCATTTCTCAGATTAAAACAAATTTAATGAATGTATGAACTTTTCAAAAAACGTAGAAAATAAAATAAAGCAAACAACCTATTGACGATTATATGCGTGTAAGGTTCTATAGCATAGCATTTTTGAACCGGACGTCTGTAGGACATTGCAGCATAATTGAGATGTCGTTCGGATGTTCTGTGTTGTGTGGGATGTTTCCTTTACCCTGGGCCTGCTCTCCAGGTTTTGCCGTTCCTGACATTTGCCCATACTCTCGGGGAATTCAGGAAAAATCGAGAAAG